GCTGGTTATGCTGGAGAGAAGGGTCTCAGTGACCCCCAATGAGTGGAGTGATGGGGTACCATAGCACCTGTGTGCTTGCTTCACTGTCGGCCAGTAGAGCTGTAGGACAACCCTCAGTGCCTGATTCCTCCCAGACACTCCACATGCTTGCTGATGGGTGCATGGGAATAAACATCTGAGCCTCTCTTTTCTCCTCTTTTTCCTCTGCCTTCTGTTGGCTAAATCCAGCGAGAAGTCAGAAAGGGCAAGGAGCTGCCCCATAGGTGGAACTGACACCCCCAGGACTGAGCAGAGGGACGAGTCCAAAAGATATGTCTGGGCTCCTATTCCTAGAAGACCTTTGAGTGCACTCTTGCCTGCTTTCTGTTTACTCTTAATGTATCCAATCTAACAGCAACATAAAGATAGTCATCTTTCTGAAACTCTTTAAGTATACCCATAGTTATTTAAGTCTACTGAGAGAGTACTTCTCACTTTGTACTTATTCTTCAATGGCCAAGAAAATGTGCCCATTATTTAATACATTATTTCTATGAAACGTGTTTCATTTTATTTTTATATTAAATAAAACCTCTGATTCAGTAGTTTTAACAGCTCTTCACAGCAGGAACACTGATTTTTGGAATAGCCATGTTACAGAAGTAGAAGTAACCTTTTAAATCCTGATACTCTTCAAGTTTGTGTTGGTTTACTTAGCAAGATAAAAATGTGTTGACTTGCAAAATGTTCTGTGGTCCTGAAGACAAACATTGCATGATCTCACAAGGAAACTGAAGTACCACTGTCTCATAGATGCATTAATTATTAAGACTTAAATATGTAGCTTGGCGAATCTCTGAGGTGGGAGAAATGAAGCATCTTTAAACTACATTTGTTCAAGTGATCTGATGATTGAACAATATTAAGTGACTAGTACAACAGCTCCCCTATCTGTGGAACATATGTCCCGAGACCCCACAGTGGATGCTAGAAACCAAGGAGAGTAAAGTTTAATGTATAAATTAAGCGCAGTGAGAGATTAGCAACAGTAACTAATAACATAGAACAATTAATAAAAATATGCCATAATAAAAGTGATGTGAATGTCCTCTCTCCCCCTTTCCCCTTCTCTCTCTCCCCACCAAAAATATTTTGCAGTATCATAGTAACCCTTCTTTGTATTCATACCCAAGGTGACACAGGGTGTGAAATTGGGGCTAAGCAGTGGCTACTGTCTACACAGGTTTGCCTGCAAACAAGACCTCCCAGGTGTCTAGTGACGAGAAAAGGTTGAGAATCACATTTTGGTCTTATTCACCCTCTTAAGTGGAATTGCCTTTTGTTTTTCCCATGTGAAACTCAAGGTGGATTTACAATAGGAAATGCATGTGTTTCTTCAGTTCTGCAAAACTTCCATTTTCCATGTGAATGTTGCTCTTATCTAATCTCTGCTTCAGGGAAAATGTTTGAAACTTTGCATCCTATCCTCAGTGCCTCTTTACTGTCATAATATTCATTTCTCTCTGCAGGCTGTGTTCTGGGCTAATTAACTTGCCCTTCAACTATTAGACTTCATCTTAATTCTTATTGCTGATTTTATTCTGTGTTTTTAACAAGCATACTTTCCAGGTCTATGCGTTCTACTTGTTATTGTGCAAAACTGGTTGATCTTTTTTCTCCATCTCCCATTCTTGTGAAATGGATTCGATCCCTCTTTAATAAACATAGACAATTTTAAATATAATAATTTAAAAATCTGTTTCACGTCACTGTTTTGTAGCTGGTCTCCCACTGGTCAGGGCTGCTGACTTTTTTGTTAGCAGGATTTCACGTTTGCTTTATAATTTGTTTTTTTCCTCTTTGCTCATCTTTGTAAATGACACCTTCATGTTTTGTCAACTTGATATTAACTCTTCTCACAATTATGGTTCTAAAACTTGTTCTATCAACATTGGCACCTTTTCTTCTCCATCCCTGCATTGTGGTTGTTCCTGTAACATTAAAATTAGCATAGAGATATTCTATTCTCTGACTTGGAATACTTTTACTATTTAAAACTGGGATATAATTGAGAGGAAAATGGGATATTTATCTTTATTATTTCTTTCTTGACTTTATTTACATTATTTAAAAATGATCTAACCTTATATAAATATTTTTGTGCCAAATATTATGAAATGTGTGAAAAGCTTACAAAAAATTGGCAATATTAATGACCCTATTTGGTTCCTTTATGTTTTAGTTCTGTGTAAATCCATTGAAATCTTTACATGAAGCTATTTAAGATGATATAATGAATTTGCAGTAACAATCGTTTGTTCAAATTTGGCATAGCTTTTCACTATGTCTAAATATTTCTACTACTTCTCAGCAACTAAGAGCTAAAAATAAATTTCTACTTCTGATACAGGGAGATTGGTTAAGTACTTTAAAACATATTCCTATCAAGAACTTTGAAGTACTTTCTATAAATGGATTTATAAAAAGAGATACTACATGCCAGTTATAAAATATTTTAGTTTTTTCTTTAAATCCGTCTCCTAAGGAACATTTTTAGGTAACTTATATTGAAGTAATTTGATAAATCAGAAAAGAGTGGCCCATGGATTAGAAGCTAGACAGCTTAGACAGGATGATCTTGATTGAATTATCTAACTTCTCTATCTCTCTACTGCCTTTTCTATTAAGTAAGGATTATTATAGCTCATTTTTTTTGTGATTTTCTCTCAGCCTATGCTATATGTCAGGCCACAAGTGTTCAGGCTGTCTATAACATTTTATTATAATTATTGATTACATGTCATTCTTAGTTAATAACTAGACAATGCTGTATGGGTAGGGAAAGCATCTTATCATTTTCGAGCCCTCTAAACCTAAGAATCCATACAGAGTTTAATATTGTTTTTTGTTTTTTGTTTTTTTTTTGGTACTGGGGATCGAACTCGGGTCCTTGCGTTTGCACGGCAGGCCACTGAACTGCTGAGCTAAATCCCCGGCCCTCAGAGTTTAATATTGGTAAACTTAAAATATCTATAAGCTGTTGGTCTGAATTGGCTGTGGCTTTGTAAAAGAAAACATGTGTTCCCTTTGGTCCTCATTCTTTGGGTTCTCATCCTTCTTTTCAAATTCTTGTAATTCACACAGCTCTGGGAACTCTGTCCAAGAGAAATACTCACAAATACACGTATAACAATGGAATTTTATATGAATTTTGAGGGTCTTATAATTATACAAACACACACACATATCCTTGATCTATCACAACACTTAGCTTGATGATTTGGATTCACTGTTTAAAAAGGGCGATTTACATTGTAATGTAATTTTTAAGACAGAATTCCATACTTGCTCATACAAAAAATAGTAACTTCCGTCTTTTGCTCAGAAAACTGAAACTGGTTATCTCCTATATATCCCATGAGCATGTTTTGTTTATCTATATGTCTTTACACCTAACCCCAAATTTGAGCAAATCCTAAATTAAGGGCATTTCACATGAATGTTAGAATTCTACTTTCCTTATATAAAAAATAGGATCTGTAAGTATAAAGTTTGTCTTCCCTCAGTCAAGCGGAACTAAGTAAGATTTCTGTTATTAAGAAAAATGTCTCTGTTCCACTTGACTTGGTCCCTGAGTTTTCTTATTTCTGCTGTATTGGGGATAAACCCAAGACCTCACACATGATAGGCAAGCACTTTGCCACTGAGCTCTATCCTCAGACCTTAACTTTGTTGTAATTGTTTGTTGTTTTGTTTCATTTTGTGCAGATCCAAATCTTTATTGCCTCTAAGACTCTGAGCACTCAGGAGCATTTGATAATTTCATTGTGCTCCAATTGCCATGTACTTGTACAATTTGTAAAAGTTATTTCCTGTTTCTGAATTTTATTATCATAACTAGAAGAGTAAATGACATTTTTGTAAGAAAGAGAGGAGAGAGCGTATTTCACTACAAATGGAAAAACTATGCCTATTGTTTCTATATGTTTTAAACATTTATGTTAACTGTATGGTTCTTGCATTAGATCATCAAATGGTAATATCCAGCCTATTCCTGCCTAAGAAATAGCTGTGCTTTGGGGCTGGGTGTGGTAGCACATGTAGTCCCAGTTACTCTGTAGGCCAAGGAGGAGGATGACTAGACTGAGAAGTTCAAGATCATCAAGGGCAACAGATTGAGACCCTGTTCAAAAGAAAAAAATAATAATTGTTCTTTTCATAATTCGTTTGCTTGTTTTGTCATTGTTGATTTTGTTTCTTTTTTTCTTAATATGTGGACAGTGCAAATTTTATAACAAAGCGTAAACTTCATAGAATGAATTGGAAGTAATTAGAAAACATGTATTTTCCTTTACTTTCCCTACATTATTCCTCTTTTTACAGGACATTTTCCTAACATTTAAGATCATTTTGCATGGCTGAAAATAATTACACATATAGACAACATGTTAATATCCATTTATATTTAAAATCAACTCTTCTAACTACTTTGTGTTTTCTCTGCTGCCTCTGTCTGCACAGGTGGACTCCTTGCCATTTGGCTGTCCTTGTAGGACAGACCAGTGGCCCGCTGGCTTTCTAATGATCTTTGCTCTGATAGTTCACTTTCTTCACAGGAGGAACTGCCACTATCCAGAGAAGGTCATGCAGGGCTGCCAGCATTCTGCACTGAACTTGGGCTGACTTGGTTAAGGGTTGAGAAATGGGAGCAGATCACTCTGTCTGGCATGTAGATTTTGCCTTTGTTCCTCTGCTTAGTAGGAGTACCAGACCTAGTAGTCCTACTCAGCAGTCTCTGAATTGATCTGCTTCATTCCTTTAGGGTTTATTATCTGTTTCCTCCTAGAGTCTCTGTTATAGTGCAATTACTGTTACACAGAACCCAACGCAGCACCTGGCACATAGTCTTCTAGAAATATTTATTGAATAAATAAAAGAAAATAAGTTCCATTGTTTGTTTTTATGAAAGTCACTGAATAGAAAAACAAGCCTTTGCATGTTTTGTAACTTCTGTCCACCAGGTTCGGTACTGGAATAATGGAGGAGAGGAAGAATCATCAAGCAAAGTGAAAGTGGCAGGAAATGAGACCTCAGCCAGACTCAGGGGCCTGAAGAGCAACCTGGCATATTATACTGCTGTCCGGGCTTACAACAGTGCTGGTGCTGGTCCCTTCAGTGCCACTGTTAATGCAACCACCAAGAAAACTCGTATGTATAATTCTCACTTTATTTAATGTTGAGGAAAATCATATTTATTAGACATGATAACCTCTTTTATCATTCTAAGGGGGCTTGGCAATCATTAGTGCTGTTGAATGATGAAAACAAAATTGGCTCCAAATGCTCATAACCCCAGAGCCCCCATATATCCCTGTCTTCATGATCTCCCCAAATCTACAGGTCTTAACACTGTATAAAATGAATGTGTACCTCTTAAAAAAACTTAATCTGGGGTGTTCAAATTAATCTATCCAGATTTTTAAAATGTGATTAGTTTTTTCGGGTTTACGTTCATATATTTTTATTCCCCAAAGCTTAGGGTTTACTAATAAGCATAAATAAACATAAACATAAATTTTTTAGAAACACTAAATAATTAGAAGTGATCTTTTTCCTTCTATTCTTTCTTGCATCATCCAAAAAATGGCAATGTGCATTCAAAGTGTATCATCAGAAGATGCTAGTTCCCACAAATAATTTGGTACAACATTTTAAAAAGTCTCCCCAGGAAGGGCAATATTTCCTTGAAAGCTGAGTCTTTGTTAGCTATAAATTACAGGTAATTTCCTGAGCTTGAATGATGAGTTATAGCTAAATGGAGCCCAAAAGAGAGCCCCTGGCTCGCACTGTGGATTGTCCCACAAATATTGCCACTAAAGTGAGAGCACAGTGTGTTTAATTGTTGTGTTGTATTTGATGCTTTCTCTCAATGCTCCTGTTTTAGTTGCTGCTGTTGTTGTCATCGTAGGTGAAAGTGACAGAGAATATTCCGTGCCCCAACTGCTTGTTGCCCATTCTGTTTTTGCTCCCATCCCAAAGGCAAGGAAAAGGGTCACGAAGGGCTTAAATAAGTTTAGTACATTGATAGTTTTACTTGCAGTTAGTTTTCTCATTTATTTTCAAAATGTGTTTTAGTGAATGCTTTATTGACTTTGCATGCGAATGAGTTCAGTGTTTTCTTGGCTGTGAATTTGAAGAATGCATTCCTGATTCCCTGTGTTATATCCAGATTTGATAGGAAACATGCATGTGTTGGCTAAAATTGCTAAAAACTCCAATAATATAAAATTGAATATAATGAACAAATATCATTATTGGTGGTTTAAAACATATGTAAAACATAATCCTAGTACTTTAGATTTTAATAAACCAGTATTAATTTAGTCAGCAAAGTACATATAGAAAAAATGGGTGGCCAGCAACTTACACAGTAAACATTGCAGAGCAAAACTTTAGCAAGGCAACATTTTAGTCCTTTTAGTAGCATCCATTTGTAAGCAGCAACTTTAACAGCATCCTTGACTAGTTATTCGGAGAAGCCTGAGCCAGACTCGGCTGTGTGACTCATGGCTGCTGTTAGACCAAGCAACCTGTGGATAGGAAAATACATCAAATGAAAATGTTCCATATTTACATCTTTTCATTAGATAAGTTTGGCTGTCCAGTAACAATTCTGAATTAGTATGGCTTAACCACATCATTATTCATATATTCAAAATGCAGTGTAATCATTAACTTTCCATTTCTGGGACAAAATACCTGATACCTGCAATTTAAAGGAAGAAATGTTTACTTTAGCTCGCAGCTTCTAGGGAGTCACTGTCCGTGTTCTCCCGATTCTAAGGCAGGAGCATCATGGTAGAAAAACGGTGAGAGGCATCCGGAAGAGGAGAGCAGAGGAAGAGCCTCAGAGAGGAAGAGGCAGGGACCAGATAGGGTCCCCAAGGCCACGCCTCCGTGACCCGCCCACACTCACCAGCGCATCTGTTTTACTCCTCTTAAGTGTCTTTTAGTCCGGCAAGTTGATAGTCAAAATTAAGGTCACACACAGCATTAATCAAAACTTCGGATTCCCAAATATATGCAAACAGGTATATTTGGCTCTTCTCTCAAAGTTGATGTAATCGCTCGCTAGAAAATATAATTATAAGAGATAATGTCATGTCACCCTGAGATGGAGAAAAAGTGAATTGGGAAGACAAAGATAGCGACTGAATGTGAGTTAATAGGAATACTATGATCATGTACAAAGAATGAAATAAAATTTTAAAAAGAAGCCAGTCCCTTTTACAATTTCGAGCTAGTATATAAATACCTAATCTAAGTTAGAAATGTGCACATAGCAATGAGATTGTATAGTATTAATGGTTAACACTTGGTGAGTGATTTCTAGTGCTGGTTCTCAGCACTTTCCATGTATTGATTCTTAATTCTCACAGCAACCCTGTGACTTGGAAGCTATCGGTGTCCTCACTTTAGAAATGAAAAGGCTAAAGGTTGTGTAACTTTACAGAGATGGCACAAAAAATAACAGGAGAGTCATCCACATTCAACCATAGTGGTAACCACCGTGTCATCCTTTCTCTCAACCATATAATTAGAACACTTGCGACTCATTCAACAGCAGTATTTGTTGTGATTTTTGCATTGGGCTTAGGAACTGGATGAGATGATTGTAGACAGGACCAGTGCCAGTGGAACTGTAGTTGGTTGAGAATTTCTACAAAAACCGAATAAAATATATTTTAAAAATACATTCCCATTGCTGCAGTTCAACTGAAGCCTACACATGGACCTGTAGGTGTTATTAAGGAACAATTTTTCTGTATTGGATGGGAAATTCATACAAATAACTAAAACCTCTAGACAGTAAAACCCCTTGACATTAAAAGGAATATATGGTAAATTTTAAATTTCATACTGATAGTTTTCCAACATGTACCAAAATGCAAGTAAGATAGAAGCTTCTAAAGCTATTTATGATATTATTACTAATAGCTTTAATAGTCTTGCTAACTTGTGATGTAATTTAACTTCATATCCTACTTAAGGTTTTTATTAAGACTCAAGAATATTAGTTTGAAGAGAGCTACCTGTGTGTCTTAAGTATGAAGAACTAAGGTAATATTTTCCTATCTGTCTTCACCTGTGGTTTGTAAACTTGGTATAGAGAGAATATTTTTGTGCCTCATTCACTCAGGCCCACTGCCCAGTCCTAGTGCAGGACATGGCAGCAACTCCTTAAGTGCTGAGCAGGTGGATGGATGGTTGAATGAATAAAACCTAAAGAAGCAGGCCAGCCTGAAGTACTATTATTAATCAAGTGCTCTTCCCTTTGATTGCACATTGTGAATTCCAAACACTTACTTCAGCCTTCTCCATCTTGCTTACCGTGTTTGCTTGGAGTACTCATAATCACAGCATTCTATATGCAAGGCTTTCTATCAATAAAGAGTGTAGGAGATATTCTGATTAAAGTAAAATACAAGGATTCTCAAGTTAGGTATGATAGCTTCCATTAAACACTTAATTTTTAATATCCAAATACTTGTGTTTTTAAAGACATTTTTATGCTAACAGCCCCTTTAATTAGCCTCTTTAAGTAATCAAAGATGAGTTTTCATCGTATGCAACTCAGAAAGAGAGCCAACTCTTAACACCATCATCGTTCTAATGAAACTGATAAGGAACATTTGCAGATGGCTTTAAAATAATGAGATGTGATTTCTAAAAGAAAATACATCAAGAGTCTTAAGCCCAGAGTTTTTAAGAATCTGTAGGACCAATATTCTTTGGTAATTCTGGTTTTCATTGTGGATGGATCCAAGATCTTAAACAACATCTTCAGGAGATGTGTAGTACAAACTTGAACTGAATATTCCTTATATGTAGATCTTGATCACGCCTCCCAACACAGTTTAAGCCTGCCTCTTCTACAGAATTCTCAAATTCAGCAAATTTAACTGTATTATTTCAGATCCTCAGGATCAAGATCTCACAGTCACCCTTGACATTTATTTCTTTTGTACCCAATAGCTGATCCAGAATCTTCTAACTTTATCAAGAACCTTCCACTTCTTACTTTGTCGAGTGTTGGTTCCAGAATCCATGCAGCCTCCTTTGGGTCAGGGAAGGGGGCTCCCTCCTCACTGTCCTCATACCTGTTCCTACTGTCATCTGCCTTAGACTAGAATGATTATGATAGCCAGGCGTGGTGGCACACGCCTGTAATCCCAGCACTGGAGAGGCTGAGGCAGGAGGATCGCTGTGAGTTCCAGACCAGCCTGGGCTACATAGTGAGTTCCAGTTCAGTCTCCATTACATAGTGAGACCCTGTCTCAAAAATCCAAAAAATAAAAATAAAAAAATAGAATTATTCTGATGGTTCACAACGCTACTGAAAACTTGCCAGTCACTTTCTGTCCACTCCAGATGAATAGGATACTAAATCCTTCAAATCCCCAACACAGCCTATACAATTCCTGCCCCAACTCTTTTCCTACCATTTTCCAGCTTGCTTATCCCACTTTTACTTCAGGACCTCAACGTTTGTGTCTCCCCTCATGGAAAACACTTTCTGGAGATGTCCTTATGACATTGTCCCCTTATCTCTGATGCCTGAAATAATCTCAGAGCCAGCTGGTGCCATATTATTAGGTGTAGCCTTTATCCCCTAATGTGTCCTACCTCCTTCCCTGCTTTGTTCCTTGTGTGCACCACTTGGAGCCACTACACAAACTCCATGTTAGGTCAGCTCCTTCAGGACAGAGGTTTTGCCTGGTTTGACCATTGCTCTGCCTGTCGAGCTCTCTCTGGTTTCTCAGCAGTGGTAGTCGGTGCCCAGTCCAGCAGGTATTTGTTGGGCAGTGACTCTCTCCATCCTCGTCTGTGTTCAGGAGGGGTTCATCATTTTAACACAGCTCCTTTGGAGGGCAGCAGTACTGCCCCCAGCGTGGACTCGTTTCTGTCCAAACACTGGGGAAAGAGCGCTTCTTTCTGTTCATTTTGTTTGGCTTTTTATTGGCTCATCTCAAGTAATGTCTGTCGGTGAGCTAGGTGTTACAGCCACTGTTAGGAAACTCTGTTTGGCCTGGCCTGGGTTGCACACCAAGATACTCCAAAAAAAGAGGATCCTATTTTCTTATGCCTCCGTTAATTATTGTATATGTGCACCCACTTGGGAAAATAGTGTAATATTAAATGGTACC